CCGTGGGCTTGCGTGGTAGGGCGCGCGCCTTTCGTTCCGCTGGATGCCCGAAAGCGAATCGAGCGCGTCGGTTCCCTACTAATCTCGAAAAGCTCGCCCCGGTTTGCCACCTCTTACCTGGCTAACCAGGGAAAGAGTATTTCCTGTTAGGAAAAAAACAGCCAGTATTACTGGACGGCAACCCCCGTTTCCCGAAGCCCGCACGGCCACTCTTGTAAGACCATGAGAAAAGAGTATTGCAAGAACACCTGTGGATCTGGCCGGCTGAAGTTTCCATAAAGGCAGCTCATTTTCAGAACCAGTCGTTTTGCCTTTTAAATTTGACCCTCCGATGAAAACAGGCAATACATAAAATCTCATGCTTTTGGAATAGGTTAGGCTGTCATTTTATTTGTACTTATTTGGAAATAAGCTGCTTTGGGATCATTCATGTGTAATACTTGTTATGAACATGTATTAGTCTTGAAGGCAGCACTTCACAACTTGAGTGTCTTCCAGATATAGGACTTCAGTTCCCGGAATTCTCTAGCCATCGTGGCCGATGCTAAGAAATCTGGGAGCTGCAGTCCACACTTTTGGAGCTTGTCTAGGTTTGGGAAGTCTGCTTTAAGGTGCTGCAAACATTCCCTTTTTATATGTCTACCTCTGACTTGATTGTGAGAGTGAAGAGCTGATTAAATGAGCTTTGGAGACAGAGCTAATTTGTAATGAGCCATGAAATACTGCTTGGCATTGCCATACTTGTAGCTGCTTATCCTGGATTATTTTTCTTTTATCATTTGTTTGGCACTCTCTCATAGCTGTAGAGAGCTAAAAGAGAAGTGCATTCTATCAATTTTTCTGTTTGAGAATACTGTATCAGATTTAGGCAAGGTGATCATTTTTATTGAACAAGATGTAGGTTTTAGAACTGTAATCTTGTAGACATACAGATAGTTCTCACTTACCAACCGCAATTGGGACTGGCAACTCTGTTGCTAAGGGACACGCTCATAAAAATTTGCTTGTTGGAATCTGGCTGTGAAGGTTGCAAATGGTGATCACATGACCACAAGATGCTACAACCCTCGTAAATGTGCACCAGTTGCCAAGTGCCCAAATCGCGATCACATGACCATGGGCATACTGGAATGGCTGCAACTTCGAGGACCAGTCACAAGTCTCCTTGTTCAGCGCTGTTGTAACTTTGAACTGTTGTGAACGAGTGGTGGGTAAGCAAGGACTACCTGCAATATCACTCACACTGTAGGCCTATGTATGTCTACTATTGAATTCTGCAAGGCTTACTGACAGATATTTAGGTCTGTACCTTCACTGAACTAATTCTTAGGATATACAGAAAAATGTATCCTTTTTCCACTCCTCTTTTTGTCTTGTTTTTGTGAACATCTGGGCTATTTAAGAGTCCACTTTTTTGTTGACGTGCTGACTAGGAATTAAATTCTATCACAGCTGGAAGATACAAAACTGGGAAAAGGTGCTTTTATGTATTTAATATGTTTTGTTGCAAAATTCATACTTCCTTTGTGTGAAAGTTGGAGTAATTTTTTTGAAACAGCACCTTTCTGACTGTACTTCTGAGTTCACTAGACCTTGATTGCATAATCTAAGATTTCTAAGCTGACAGGGCAAATACAGTGTGTCCCCCTTCAGCTTTTTGAAAGAAAAACAAATCTACAGTGTTTGCAGTGAATTATCTCAAAGTCTCCTGCATAGTGGGATGAACATTTATAATCAATTGCTTACGTATTTCTTGAGTTCTTAATTTTGTAGTATGCTACTTGGGACACTGAAGATATGCTTAGTTACAAAGTCAGGTGATCGTTCAGCACTTGTGAATGTTCAGTTGTCATGTTGAATCCTGCTATATCATTGCTTTATTTGATTTTATTGTATTTTTAATATGTAATCCTCTGTAAGCTGAGAGTGTTTTAGCTGAAGTTTTTAAAAATATAAACTGGCCTTCTAGAACATCACTGATCTTTTCCACAAGTCATCAAACCTCAGGGTTTTGTTTTTTTTTATAGTGGCTTTCTGATAGAAAAAAACGAGCACTGCAAAAGAAAAATGTTGGTGAGTTGTCCTTATTTTATACAAAAAAGAATTCTTATGTTCATCATTCATGTTCATATTATTTCTGATTTCAAAAAAATGTTTCATGATAACAAGCTGAAGACATATCTCCATCAACTGTAACTTCTGTATTTCATTAATGTTGAAAGGAAGAACATTCTCTGGTGTGTGTGTGTGTGTGTACATGCACGCATGTTTTTAAACTGGGAAAGTATTTCTCTTTTAAAAAATACATTGTCTTGTGAAATTCAGTTCGCTGTTGGAATGGTTGCTGTGCACATTTATTCACTATATACACCTGCAAGTTACTTTTTCTTGTTCAGTGAATGAGGTCTTTTAGTGCATAAATAGTTGGTGGAAGTATAATTCTAGTTCCTCTATGACTTCTTTCTTTTCAACTCTAGTTAGTCTTGTTCTGAGGATTGGCAAGTTGTATTAGTCCAATATAGAATATCCTGAAGCTAGTATGTTTGATTAAAGGCTTAGGAGCACAAAATGAGTAATGTTAAGAGTTTTAGATAGCAGAACACACAAGTTTTCCAAGATGAAATAGTATACATGAAGCCAGATTTTTTAAAATAAAAAGTATTTTATTGGCGCAAGTGGGGAAAAAAATCAAGATAATTCCCTGAGGCATTGACCCAAGAGACACAAACAGCAATATTTCAGTATTACAATGGAAACACTGGGAACTCTGAAGCTGACAAAGAAAACTGGATCAACAAAAAAAAAGAATTAGACTTGTTCTTCATTTTATTGTCACAGCAGGTGGCAATTTCTAACTAACCTTGGGTCTTGAAAAAGCTAGGCAGAGTTGGACCTGATTATTATTTGGATGAGGGATCATCAGGAAACCCAAGGGCTTTAGGCTAAACTGGGAAATAACAAAAACATCCTAGGAGAAAGCAGCGGGAAACCTGTATTGTTAAAAAAAACAAACAAACCATGGATATGTTCATGTGGTTAGCAGGGGTTGAGATTAATCTGAAAGATACATTTTCTTTCCTTTTGTTAGTCTGTCAGAGTATATTTAAGGAAAGAGATGCAGGGTTCATGGTAAATGCAAAGAGGGAACAAAAGGGTGTGTGTGTGCAGTAACATTTTACCAGACCAGATTGCATCAGGAGAGAGTACACAAAGGACCAAGGACCAAGTTGTGTCCTACTGTAGTGATGTGTTCACTGTGCAGTCTTTTCTCAATTTTTATTTCATTTTTTAAAGATATTCATAGGAGAATTGAGCTTATCCAAGATTTTGATATGCCTGCTGTTAGCACCAAGATCAAGGTATCACAAGATGGGCAGTATGTGATGGCAACGGGTGAGTTTGGCTAAAACCAGCTCCTTTCTGAGAGTGTCCTGTATTAAATAATTAGTCTGCAAATATTCTCTGAAGTGTAAAGTGTTAATAAACTTGCAAGAATGAAATTATGGTTAAGGAATGCTGGGTTCTGGAGATTACACACAAATACAGTGTCTACTGGTACTAAATCTTGCAAAGGTTAGATGGTAGAACATTGTTGTGTATTTGGGAGCCTTAAAAAAAGATGATGTGAGTAGAGATTATATATTATGCATTAATGTTTCAACTATCTTTTATAATATGAAAAAGAATTTTGACATAATATTGAAATTAGCAAAGAGTGTATGGGTTTCCAAAGTTGCTGGTCTCAAGGACATGCTTAGAGAATATTAAGGACGTGTTGTGGGCACTGTTACAAAATGGCTGCTATGGGAGCCATGGCTGGCAGTTTTTATAAAACATATACACATGTGCATATATGTATCTTTTTGGCCTGCATAGAACACACATTTGCATATGAAACATGAACTCATAATGTTTGACTAGAACCATTTTCATTATTGAATTTTACTAAGAACAAAATTTTAGACTATTTTTGTTTTGCACATCCATTAATTTCTAGATCAAAATCTCTTTAAAAAAACCAACCTCTGAATCTTTCTTTTTTGCTTTGATGTCAAATATACTTTTTTAACAGGCACGTACAAGCCAAGGGTCCGATGTTTTGATACCTATCAGTTATCTATGAAATTTGAAAGATGCTTAGATGCTGAAGGTTAGTAATCCTGATTATGATGGAAATCAATACGAATGATAAATTAGGCACAAAGGAAAAAAAATCTCAGAGTGCAAATCTATGCACGTTTACTTGGAAATAAGTATACCTTTGATGTGTGAAGCTTTCTTCTGGGGGAGCAGGTAGGGTCTGCACCCTAAATGGTCAGATTTTTGTTGTTGTTGTTATTTATGCAATAATTCTATTTATTTGTTTATTTATAGAATTTATAAGGTCACCCATCTCAACCTAGTGACTCTGGGAGGCTAACGATACATGAAAAAGAAAATATAAGCAAAATAAAATAACAATATGGTACAGTGCAATGTAACAGAGGCTCCAAAACTCACCCATAACACATAATGAAACATTCATACTGTATCAGGTTCAGCTAATATCTTGTCCCCAATGCCAGGGGGAAAAACTAGGTCTTCAGGAACAAAGATGTAGCACAATTTCAATGTATGCTATTTTCCTTCTTTGGAAAATATAAGGTAGAAAACTTAATTGTTTTCCTTCTTTGAAAATATATGAATGTGAAAAACTGGAATTTTTAAAAACTTTACTCTGGGCAGTACATTGTATTGCTTTTGAAACACTCCTGATTTTAAACAAATTATCATTAGAGGAGGAAGGGTTTATTGGATATGAATCCTTCTTTTCATTCTTTGCATTGTGTCCATTGCGGTGGAATGGTGTGTATATTAATGTTGAAATGCAACTGAAAAAAATGGATACAGTAAGGAAATGATCTCTCGGGTTTTTTTGAGGATTATCTTCTAGTAACATCTAATACAGATCAGATCTGGGCAGGACATTCAAGCAATATGTAGGCTTGTAATCATGTGTTGCTTATGCAGGATGAGTGCATGACTACTCCCCTCTTGGCTTACATATAACTGACTCTAAAACAGAAAGCCATTAGAGAGCTAATAAAGTAACTTTGGAGGAGTTCCTAGAGCCATTGGGAATCAAACAGAGTACAAATTTAATAAATAAATAATTCTTGCCATTTGCTTCTCCTGGGCCCTTGAACCTAATGAGAGAGGGAGAGGTTGAAATCTTTTTACACTAGTAAGAGGATGGAGTGAAACACTGGTTGCTGCCTTCCTTGTGAAGGCTGTTGGTTCTAGATGTGGCAGTACCATGGATCAAAAGCTGGAGAGAGATCATTGGAAATGGAGAGCTATAATGGCCATGCCTGTTCCAGCCGTCTTCTCTGTCTCCAGCTGTAAGATCCAAGACTGTTTTGCAGATGATGTAATTGAGTTTTGAGAAAGTGGGGTATAGCATGATGTGGAACAGTTATTCTGTGACTGACCCTCATTTATAATCTACTTTTCATCTCCTCAGTGGTCACGTTTGATATTTTATCAGATGATTACTCAAAGGTATGTCAACTTTTAATTTTTAAATTATATGTGTAAATAATAGTAAATTTGAGACTTCAGTTAAAAAAACTCCTCATGGCTTTAGCCTGTGTGATTGCCTCCCCCAATTAAGTTACAAAAAGACTGGAAAAAACAAGAAAGAATACAGTTCTGATTTCTTGATAGAACCGGAATCTATTATATCTTTTAAAGAAAGTATTTTTTTTTAATAAAATTTTTTATTTTTTACAACAAACACAAAACATACATAAACAAACAA